GGGGGGCCCCCCCCCCCCCGTTCCTACGCCCCTGACAATAATTCACATTATTTTTGAAGAAGGTTTGAAAACTTTAATTTTTATACCCTTATTAAGGTTGAAGGATTTGGCAACTCTGGAAACTTTAAACATCACTTTATTGATAGGTGTTCCCACTAATTATGTTACATACAGTATACGTTTCTTTTGGCCAATAGATCCATCGTTTGGTTCCACCTCAGAAATTGCGTCCTGTAGCTACGAAGCGAGATCTCTTGGCGTCAAGAATGGAATGTGGCTAGGACAAGCTCGACAGTTGTGTCCAGCTCTTGTGTGTGTTCCGTATCAATTTGATGAATACCGTCAAGTCTCACAACAGCTGTATGAAATTCTCGCTAGTTATACGCACGAAATACAAGCTGTAAGCTGTGATGAGGCTTTTGTTGATCTCGCAAATTACATCGAAACAGGTCAGTTATGTGTCTATAGATTGTTGATGCTGATATAATCATGAATTTAATTAAGGCTTGTTGGCGGCTCAAAGAGATTCAGAATGCGCAGCCATTTGGTATGTTCCCCCATTCATATAAGAGAAACAAGTTCAAGTTTATATTAAAATTTTATTAAAATGCGGGACTATTTCACTAATAAAACGAACGGTTTAGAAATAATGGTACTCATAACTCATAAGGCAAACAAAAATATGTGGGTTTCCGGTTTCCGACCCTACCTACCTTTTGGACGTCGATATCCCGACCCTAAACTTTTTTATTGGATCATGCTTGTAAGTGTTTCCACTTAGAGGAAAAAGTTTGTGGAAAATTGAAATTTGAGGCAATGTTAGGGAAATTTATCTTTGGATGTGGAAGCACTGACTAAACAAAATGGCGTCCGGTTGTTCGGAAAATAAAAAAGTTAAAACCGACCTGCCCTACCTACGTTTTTATAAGAAGAAACCGGAAACCCACATTTTTTTTGCCTAATGGTCATTGAACTGCATGAGTGCATGGAGTGCAATTTGGTCTGAATTCTAACGCGCAGTGGCGAAAGTAGCCATAGCAACAGGTGATTCTATTTGCATCTTTCAAAGCTTTAGAAAGGTATTGTTTTTAAACTCTTTAGATGCAGGTTTATTATTAGCATTGCATGACCAGTAGCCATGTCAAGGCTTCGCCACTGCAAATTCGTGGTTTTAAAACTGCACGACCGCGAAGCGGGATTACAATTTGTCATCACAAGTTTGATTTCAGACCAAAATCGCGCGACACAAAGTGGGCTTAAACCAAACATAAACTTATTGTTAACTGATAGGGACTATCTCTGCCACTCACGCGTGTCAAAAACTCGTGTTTGGAATTTGAACACTTCACATGTTAAATTTTCATTATTATATGCAATCCATTTCACATACGTGAAATCAACGTGTGTATAATTTGAACACTTCACATGTGACGCTTTCATATGTGAAACAGTAGACAACATATATGAGATTTCATAAATGGGATTTCATTATGAAACTTATGAAAAGCCAAAAGGCCTTATGAAAAGTGCTTTATTCGTATGAGACGTCATTTCAAATCCGACTATGAGGGCTGGACTAGATTTCAAGTCCTTGCATTTTGATCCAATTATCGGCTTCGCCTCGGACCGGGGTTCGAATTCTAGCCCAGTCCTCATAGCCGGATTTGAAATCTTAGTTAAATCATTGAAATGAATATAACTGGAACGCTACCTTCAGATAAACTGCCTATCTTTTTATTAAAGCCAAATCTGACTCCCAAAGACCCAACCACGCGTGTTTATGTCTCACGGCACATTTTTATCGTAGAAAAATGCTCTTTCAATAAACAATTATTCGAAAAAACTAAAAATCTACGAGGAGGTCTACAAGGAAGTTTTACCTGAATAAATGCATTAACAGAAGGCTTTGAGCGCTGTTAAAAAGCTTTTTTGTAAATTTTAATCCGGTTTTCAAGGATACATATTCATGTTACGTTGACGGATTGACCGCGCTCTTAGCATGCGTGAAAAGACTGGGACTGGCTTTTAAGTTTGGCTTCAAATTTCCAGGAGGAGGTAGAGTTCTAGTCATTTGGATTCCTTAAATTTTACGACACGATTAGCAATTACAAACGGACGCCACCAAAATTTCAAATTTGGAATTCTACATGTGAAACAGTGAATTTCGAAAGGAAACCTTTTCATACCTCACTTCCAAGTATTAGTTTATCATTATTATTATTTAAAATTATTTATACACGGTAGCTTATCAATCTATCTATATCAATATAAAATAAGGAATATATTATTCTTCTAAGTATCAAAATAATACTTAAAAAGTTTGCTATTTAAAGTGAGGTGAATTAATTTTGATGCAATCTAAGGACTGAAATAATTTTGATGAAATAATTTTTAATCTAGGACTGGATCATTATATTTCTCCATGCAGGTACCCAGTATTATCTTGTGAGAATAATAAAGCAATATATTGTTGGCTAATTTACTCATGAATTATTCGTGAGTTTGAGATGCTCGCTTCAATTTAGGCTATGGTCCGCTCTGTAGCTCGCACTGCACAGATATCAAACTTAGATCGCGATCCTAAAACAAAAATCTCATTTGTTTCTTTGTTATAGAATGCCTCACAGCATTAGAAGTTGCCCAGATTATTCGAGAAGAAATAAAGACGAAAACAAACTGTCCGGCTTCCGCTGGTATTGCTTCAAATATATTGCTGGCTCGAATGTGTACAAAGGTGGCCAAACCCAATGGACAGTTTCATTTACAAGATGATGACACCGCCGACTTTATTGGTATGTATTTTACTCTATTTTTGTATCCCTAAATTGCAATGAAACATGAATAATGTAGTTCTTGTTTCCCTTTTGTATACGTTGTCACGTTTTTTTCTTGAGTGTAGTTGAAAGGAAAGCAATCTGAGCGAGTTAAAACTATTTAAAATAGCCGAAAACACGACGCCATTTTGCTTGCCCAGGCTCCTATAACAAATAACTCCAACAAAGGGAGTTGTATTCTAATAACTCCAACAGTCCTCTAACAGTCTAACTCCTCAAAAAGAGTTATTATAACTCCTGATATGGGGTTAACATAGCCCTGAAATTTTAACTCCACCAAAAAGGAGTAATAGGGGAGTTATTTTAACTCCCTGAAAATCTGTTACCCCTCTCACAGAGTTACTTTAACTCCAAATTTGGAGTTAAACTAACCTTAAAATTTTAACTCCACCAAAAAGGAGTAATAGGGGAGTTATTTTAACTCCCTGAAAATCTGTTACCCCTCTCACAGAGTTACTTTAACTCCAAATTTGGAGTTAAACTAACCTTAAAATTTTAAGTCCACCAAAAAGGAGTAATAGGGGAGTTATTTTAACTCCCTGAAAATCTGTTACCCCTCTCACAGAGTTACTTTAACTCCAAATTTGGAGTTAAACTAACCTTAAAATTTTAACTCCACCAAAAAGGAGTAATAGGGGAGTTATTTTAACTCCCTGAAAATCTGCTACCCCTCTCACAGAGTTACTTTAACTCCAAATTTGGAGTTAAACTAACCTTAAAATTTTAACTCCACCAAAAAGGAGTAATAGGGGAGTTATTTTAGCTCCCTGAAAATCTGTTACCCCTCTCACAGAGTTACTTTAACTCCAAATTTGGAGTTAAACTAACCTTAAAATTTTAAGTCCACCAAAAAGGAGTAGTAGGGGAGTTATTTTAACTCCCTGAAAATTTACAGTGGCATGTGCTTGAAACGAATGGTCGGGAAGCGGATTGACCCATGGATCTTTGCATTGGCGTTTTACTTCATTCCTCCTGATTCTCTACGAGTATAGGGAGCTTAAAGGCCGATTTACACTGTGCACAATCTTTGTGTAAATCAAGAACACAACTCGCTTACGTTGTCGTAGGTGAGTTGTATGCTTGATTTATACAGTACAGCTCAAGTTGTAAGCAGGTTGCATGCGGCAATTTTAGGCAAAAGTTGTATAGTGTAAATTGCCTCAAGCAGCGACTCAATAGCTAACCAAATATCAGCTTTTGACGTAATATTCAACGGAGTGACGTGGTCAAGTTGATATGAAAAAATCATATTTGACGTTATGACGTCATGCTGTGGAAATATGAAATGTGGAAACTCGGCCAAAACAATATGGGCACATATATTGGTCAGGCCTGCATAATATAGCGGACCGCGGGACCATTGGAAACCAGAAAACATTGACCCAGAAAATTGTTGAGGTTGGCAGAAAAAAATGGAGGGTAAAACTTAAAAGTCTCAAAAGAAAAAAAGTAAAGAGAAAGAAAGAATCAGAAATGAGAAAAAATGACATAATTGAATAATAAGCTGTAGGTAGTGAACTAGTGATGTTTGCAACATGCAAGTAATACAGTCAAGTTTCCAATATACCGGTACAGGCGGCTCTCCAGCATACTACGCGTCCGTTTTCTTCCCAAATAATCTTAAAAAGAATAAAAGATGGCGACAACCTGCTTTCCTTCAGTTTGTAGCAATTGGGATATTTCAAGTCGAACTCAGTACGAGACAACAAGACGGCTAGCAACCACATCAAATAAAACCAGGCAAAAAAAACACCATTAGCAATACAACATCCCAATGAACATTACTCCCGTGAAGAAAGGATTTCGGTTCGGAGCAGCCATCATTGAATTTCTTCGAATTGGATTTTGTAATCTGACAGCACGTTCGTTTTACTTCTCCTGATGAAATTTCCTTATAAGAAGAGCAAACTTCGTAGTTTGTTGCCAGGTTTATGCTGCGAATTATATTCTGCGTATTCTCCAATGCAAAATTATGCACATTTTCTTTCCTATTAATGCAATCGCTTTGATTTTCTTTGAAATGTAATTCAAAGTTTCGGATGCCAGCATTCAAAGTCCATGGAAAAAATCTGAACTGCCGTCTGTCAAAAGTGTGTAGAATTTCTCGACCGATGGGATTCAATAATGAAACATAAAAATCCGATACGAGATATTTGTCGTGACTAATGCCAGAGAAGGAGACATGAATATCCACTACATGAACAACATTACTGTTAAAAAGTTCTGCGAGATTTCGCTCTCTGTCATCTCCACAATGCATTTCTTGGAAACAGGAATCGTCGTGGACGGCAAAGCAGACAACGTAGTGCTGATGTTCAGTTTATCGCCGTCATGTAATGTGTCGTTGTTGGAATGTGCAGACACGACGAATGATATTAACCCAGAGTACAAAATCAATAAGAACATCTTGACTTCAATCAACTTTCTTCACAATAAACGCCAATCGGTTTGAATCAACGAAGAGGCTTCGACTATATCATCAATGATTTAATGTTTTGATATGAACAGTTTCAAATTTCAAAAGACAAATAAAATTTTTGTCTTACTTGGTAAACAATGAACTTGCTAACTTAATCTGTGGTTTCGAGGTGCTTTAAACACTGAAAACTACTATTAGACGACAGAATGAAACGAAGGCTGCTAATGCTAAATTTTTATAGCCAAATGTGGCTTTAAAACGACAAAGGTTGACTAAGGGATATCCGGTATGGTGTAATAATCGATCAGATATCACAGGAAATTCCGAGGGAAAGGAAAACCAGAAACTTTTCCGATTCCACATTCAAGTTCATTGCACATGAGCGATAACCAGACGTGCTAAGATCTGCACTATATAGCTCTTCATTGTTTATGTTAATAGCCCGAAATGTGTCGGTACAAGAAAATTTG